TTATTTGTGCATCCCCTTAGGTCACGCTGCATGTTCAACAGTTTTTTATCCACTTCATTCAAGTTTCTAGCCGTCCCTTCCTTTTTCCACAAGTCCTTCACTTATTCAAATAAGGAATCCACTCTTTCCCACATGTATCTGCATCTGAAAGTTCTTATATTCTCTTCATCGACTGACCTCCATTCCATTCTAGATCCTAAGCACGAGGTAGTGAGAATCCCAACTCGACTCCTAGAATCCTACGACTTCACGACCCTATGGAAGCATGCCGATCAAAGTCCCGCTATGAATCCAGATCAGTTAGAATCATTTTGAGTCGTGATCCAAATCATAGAATCCTGTACAAAACTGTAGAATCCCGACTATGCTATCGACTATGTCCGATTCTGCTAATTTGTCTAAGCCATTTGTTCATAATAGTATGTCATCATCCAAACCCCTTTTCACATGCCCCATGGTCCTTTATTCCCCTCGCAAAGCTAAACACTTAGCCGCTGACACCTTCGATCTCGCCCTAAAAAATCCTAGATCAAAACTGAGGATCAGGCTTGTCGATGAATGGAATTGGTGTGAGAAGGAGGATGCATCAAGATTGAGCGGAGAAGGAGAGCAAGACTCTTCAAGGTTCTGCACTACAGGTCAGCTATACAAGTGACCGACTATTCGGGTACTCTAAAAAAACCTCCTAAGTAAATTTTGTGTATTGAAGATTTAAATGTTATATGTATATTTGCCTCTCATATATGTTCCATACATGCAAGCTAGACAGTAGATTAGCCATGAAAATAAGTGGGATACAATTAGCATTGATGTGTACGTTTTTTGCTTGGATACATAATATCTTATTTGAGTAAATCTTGTAGAATCCTTGATTCCACGACTCGATTCTGTCAAAGGAAAATCGATCTGACTCCAAATCCCGACTCTGACTACCCTGAGCGCGACAACAACAATAGAAAGGCGGCGGTGGCAGATCGCCCTGGTCGTGAGAGAGGAATGAATGGTTTTTTCTTTTCTTTTCTTTCGAGCAATCAACCTACTTCGGCTTTCTGTGGCATAAGGTCGAAATGCATGACAGAACTTCAAAATTTCCATCGGAGCAACCGCCACTTAGGTTAATGGCCCAGTTAACGAGAAGTTGAAGATCAAACGTGAGGACGACACAGATTCTCAATCTAACGGCCAAAATCTTCAAATGCCTGAGAGAGTTGTGATTATGTTCACTTTTATCGTCCTAAATTTAATTTAACTGAAATCACAAAATTTAATTTTAAGTGAACTTACTTTTTTAATTGTACTAGCAAAAAGGCCCGTGCGTTGCAACGGGAGAAGAAAAATCCACTCATATCTCTAGATGGGTCAGTTGGACAAACTGTGCCTGTCCGATTGACAAGCTATGAGATCAGACCCTCCCATTGATAATTTTATTTTTCTCCGGAAAAGACTACAGTGTGCCGCCAGATAGGCTTCCTTTGTTGGGCCTAAGACTACTCACAATGGAAGTAACATAGGTAGTAACATCACACATATCTAGATAAAATAGATGATGTGGCAAGTAATAAATGAAGAAAGAGGAACATGTGATAATATAGCTAGTTACTACTATTATGAGTAACATCACACATATCAAGGCAAGATGAGTCTATAGTCTAATAAATAAAGTCTTGCATGTTACCACATATATGTTACTTCCCAATATAAAGGTAGTAACATAGAGTAGTAACATGGGCATGTTACTACTTTATGTTACTACCCATTGTGGCTAGTCTAAACGGATGGCAAGTAACGAAACCAAAATAACGTACGTGAAATTAATTGAAGCGGGACCATACAAAGTGGAACGAAATCAAAAATAGCACCTCCCTTTAATAATAGACTAGCAAAAGAGCCCGTGCGTTGCAACGGTAAAAAAAATATTACATGGGCCTAATCCAATAATCATGAGCAAGACCCCAATAGGTCTTGATGAGGGTCTCTCCTTCTCAACATAAGATGAAAAATTTGTTGTTTTTTCATGCAAGATTCTGCCGAGGCATACATGCACTGTTATTGACGGTTTCTTTCGTCTCTAATTTGATTTTGATGAGGTGTTCATTGCAATCCCGGGCGGTGTTGGTACGAAAGAAAGATGAATTGTGGGTTAATTATACAAACGACATGGGGTTTAAATCCGGCTCAGCCGCGGTGCACATGGGCTCCGCTCTGTCCTCGGCGCGGCACGGTAGCCCCGACACGCACGAGCTCCATCCCCAGCGGGCGCGAGCTCTAGCCGCCGCCTCTGCCAACAGCGTCGCCGTCGTGAGGCACCATCTCCTCTGTCTGTGCCGTTGCCGGGGTAGAGAGAGAAGGAGTGGGTGGCCATAGGTGGAACAGTCTGTAATGGCTATGACGTGGAGCAAGGTGCCCTCGCGATTCTGGCCACTTTTATATTGCCCGCAAATTTGGTCCAAGTTTGAGACACGCTAGTCAGTCCGGATGATTAAGGAGAAAATAAGGGGTTTGGCTGAGTCACTTTTTTGACAGAACACTAACCGGATCAGGCAGGCGTTTTAGGCGTTTAGAGATGAAATAGGGGTCCGGGTGGGAGTAGTTCTTTTATCTACTACAGCTTCTGGGTCCTTCGGATTCAACCACCTGTTAAAAAAACCTATGTGTCACTTTTTTGAGAGCAAAACCTTGCGTGTCACTTGGTGTGGGTATAGGCTTATGGAGGAGAGAGGTCGCATGTGGATGGGGATAAGTGAAAATAAACAACTGGATCAGGAGAGATGCTGTGGCGGTGCGTGGGACCTCCTAGTGGACGCGTGTGTATCTCAGGCAAGGCGGCTAGGCATTTACGATGTGCTGGATTAGATCAATTCTCCATCGTCCATCCAGATACGTGCAAACAGCGGCACAACACTATCGCCTTCTCCCCAAAAAACAACAGCATAGCACAGTCCTCTTCTCCCCCAGATCCAGTCGCGCCCGAGCGCCTCCTCGTGCCCTTGTCGAGGAAGCAGGCAACCTTCGAGGCGCCCCTCTCCCACAGCTCGAACCCGAGTAGCTCGAGCCAGTCATCCCCGCCGGCGATCTGCAACAACAGTAGCAGGACCCCGCCGGTGAGCCAGCTCTTTCCCGCACTTCTCCCACCCAATTGTACCATCAATCTCATCTCTCTCCTCACCCTCTCTCTTTTCTTTTGAACAGAAGAACTCAAACAACAACAATGGCGCCGCCACCATGGAGCCCAGAACTCCGCCATCACACTCGCATCAAGTCGCCCGAACCTACACACCGACGCCCTCCGCTGCGACCCAGCATGCCCGCGTCAGCAGGAGGATCTCCGACACTGGCCTCGACCGCCTCCCTCTATTCGATAACCCCGATTCAGACCGCCCAGAAGCCTCCAATCCATCAGAAGCAATCGCTGCTTTAGGCCAACTCCACTGCACGACCCCAAACGGACGTCTGTTTTGTCTGGATTCTGTCCGTTTGGGTAGGGATTTGGGGTCGTGTCCGGACGTGTCCTGGGATGCGGTGGGCATGTGCCCAGCGCGCGGACGCATCCCGACCGTATCCTGTCCGCGTATTTTTCTTTGCAAGTCCTTAACTTTTTTTTATCATTCATTTTTGGTACATGACAATACATCATCACATTTTGACTAGTAAAGCAAGGCCAAAGAAAATAAGAACAACAAGAATACATTTTAGAAGATAGCCAACTTCCATAACTGCCCTCTTGAGTTGGGTTAGGGCCTTCTTGATGCACTCATTGTTGATCTGTGGAGGAGGCTCGATCTGGCATCCTCCTTTCTTCTTCAAGCCAGATGTAGATGTTGCTTCGTGTCTAGCCTCTAATTTAGCAATAAGTGCACTTGTCTCATTTACATCCTCTATGCTAGCTAAAAGTGCACGAACATGTACTAAATTTCGCTCTATCAATATATCGATGTACTCTTTTTCCCAATACCAAAACTTGCATCCATTCTACACAACAAAATTTGAAGTTAGCACATTAGTCAAATCTAGAGCACAAACTGAAGCTAAAAAAAGCACATACCCCATCGTTTAAGCACTTGATGAACACCCATCCGGGATGTTCCGGCGTTGTAGACACGCGGCGCACGACCATCCTTGGACAGTGGTCGCACTTAATAAGTGGCAACGGTGCGCCGGCGAGCTTTTGGGCAAGCACCGAGCCCGGCCGACCGTCATTCGTGTATCTGCCGGCGGACCACCGACGATGCAGATCCGAGCGGCTAGAAGAGGAGCCACTGCCTGCATGTGGCCTTGTGGCCCTGCCAGGGCCTTCCGGCGAGGTGCCCGGCCTCCCACAGCCGTCGAGCTCAAGACCGATCGGATCCGCCCCAAAATCGGCCGGCGGGTGCGCAAACCAGGTGGCCGTGGTTGGGTAGCTCGGTGGTGCCGAGGGGAAGGGGTTGGGCGAGCTCGCGTCCGAACTGCACGACTGCAATGGCAGCAGCGACGGTGGCAGCGAGGGAAAGAGTGGGGAAGAGTGGAGGGGGTGCGGCCGGAGGGAGGGAGGGGGACGGATAGAAAAAGGGCCGCCTTGTGCCACCGACGGGCGGGCCAGGGGAGGACACGCGCAGACGACCCGTGCGTCCGCGTGCTGTCCGTTTCACCCTAAAAGCGGCGCAAACTTGGGCTGCGGATGGGTCGAAAGCGGACACAAAACGGACAAAAGTCCGTTTGCTCCCGCGCGCTGGGCCGCCTCTTTTGTTCCTTTTACCCAAACGGACGGGGCCGGACAAGATAGGGTCGCGCGGTGGAGTTGTCCTTATTATTAGGGGAAGATATAGATATAGATTTGCCCACCAGTAAAAAGTCATTTTTCCAAATAAAACCAACCACCTATCTGCTCGCCTCTTTCCCCACGCCGCCTGCTTCCGGTGAGAAGTATAGCAGTGAGCTACTCCTACAACGGAGTGACCGATCTACCACCACCACCCCACACCCACACGCCGCTCGCCCTCGTCTCGAGATCTCTGGCGCTTCCCATGAATCCCCACCCCCTCCGCCTCGGCGCGCTCTTGGCGGCCCTCGTGCTTGCCGCCGGCGGCGGGTGGTGGGGCCGTGCGGAGGCGTCGATCCACACCTACGGGCGCGAGTCGTTCCGCGAGGTGGGCAACGCTTTCCTCCTCTCCGGCGGCAGCGAGGGCATCGTCGCCGACGGGGTCGATCTCGCCGCCCCCGCCTCCTCCTTCATCAAGTAAGGCCAGGGGTGTGTGCTTTTCTGTGTGACGCGTTGCGTTTGGACGGGCTGTGAATAGCGGCTCTATCATTGCTTTGCTTGCTCACTAACATTTAATTCGAGTTTGACGTGGTTTCTCGTGGATTAAGCATTTTAGCTTGCTCCCATGCGCCTCAAAGAAATTTTGGATTGCTAATAGTTCAAGCTGCATGCCTGCAACCCACATTCTTCCCACCCATTGTAATTTTCAGTTCATTATGCACAAAATTCGAGAGTTGTTGATGCGTATGTTGGCCTGTGTCGTATTTGAGATGATGTTGGTGAGATGAACATGATGAAGTATTCACTTTTACTGACAGTTTTCTTTCTGTTTCAGTGTTTTAACTCTTTTGTTCACTGGATTACCAATATGCTTGTAAACTGCTTTGAAACTTGTAGATGTGAGCTTACTAATCAAGTGTAGTATGCTCTTTCGATAAGCGGAGTGGTTTGGAATTTGTTGTTAACTAGATGGCTGGATATTGTTACAGGATTGTGAATGTTACTTTCTGGATGTTGTTACAGGTTTGTGAATGTTACTTTCTGGAGGAACGCAGAATCAGCAGAATCACATGCAAAAATGGCACATAGTACAGGCTTGGTGCAAGCTATTTTATTTGAAGCAGCTGACAGGGATAACATTGGGGGTTCTGCCTATGGTGGACAGAGGTCCATTTGTTGCACCCCTGACCTTGCTAAACTAGAGGGCTGCAAACAAGGTGAAGTAATCAGGAGGCCATCTTCTGATGACCCAGCTTGGCCTGTCGTGGTAGATACACACTTCAGTGCTAATCACCTTTCAGTGAAGTTGGATGATGAGGAAGTTCACATTACAAAGACAGGCATGTACAACTTGTTCTTCATTTCTTGTGATCCAAAACTAAGGGGCCTTGCTATGAGTGGGAAGACAATCTGGAGAAATCCTGGGGGGTACCTACCGGGACGAATGGCACCTCTGATGAGATTTTATGTTTTCATGTCGCTGGCTTATCTGTTAGTCATGGTTGTCTGGTTTAGCAATTACATAAGGTTTTGGAGAGATATACTGCCAATACAGAATTGGATCACACTAGTAATTGCTCTTGGACTGTTTGAGATGACACTATGGTACTTTGAGTACTTAAACTTCAACAGCAGCGGTGTACGACCTGTCGGAATTACAACTTGGGTTGTAACTGTTGGCGCTATCAGAAAAACAATTTCCCGTCTACTGATCCTTTCTATATCCATGGGATACGGTGTTGTTCGCCCAACTCTAGGAGGGCTCACCTCTAAGGTTTTACTCCTTGGGCTTACATATTTCCTGGCTTCTGAATTACTGGATATTTCAGAAAATGTTGGAACAATTAATGACATCTCAGGCAAAGCAAAGCTTTTCCTTGTCCTTCCTGATGCATTTTTGGATGCTTTTCTCATACTTTGGATTTTCACTTCTCTTTCCCGCACTCTCGAGAAATTACAGGTGAGGAACATTTGTTGTAATGTTTAAAGTGTTTATTTTTATGTTGTAATGGTAAAGTCATATTATGTTATTCTGCTGTTTGGTTTGTGAAAACTACTGGTTACTCAAGTATTGCTCTATCATCCTGGTAAAAGGAAAGTGGTGCACTAGCAATTCCATGAGGAGACATATCTAACTTAGGTCTAGTGAGTGATTAGTATGCTAGAAACCCCCAGTTATGGGCCGCCCATGTGTAATAGTTTATTTCTTAAGCCATCCGAGTTCCTAATATTTTCATGGATTATTTAAGGGGTGATGTGGCTTAACTTGGATTCACCACGAGGAGTCAATTCTGAAATAAGTCTGTCTAGAAAGAGGGCAAGAAGGATAGTTTATTAATTGTTTGAAAGTTTATTAGCAAGCATGTTGGATCCTGATTTAGAAAACTGTATATTGTGTTGCTACTGAAGCTTTCTTCTTTTCTTATTCATCAGGCAAGGAGGAGTTCTGTGAAATTGGATATATACAGAAAGTTCACAAATGCACTGGCGGTCTCTGTCATAGCTTCAGTTGTCTGGATTGGCTATGAGGTGTGTAAATCCCATTATATACATGGACAATAAAAATTGTGACAGCTTCAGACTGTACTTCATAATTCGATTAAATATTTACTTCATTAAGGGCATGAACTATGGTGGCATATGGATATAGATGCCCCATGAGAAAAAGTGGTTTGAGGCACCTACATTGATCTTTTCTCCCCAATGTAAGCTACCACTAGGGGGCCTCATCAAGGAGTAGAAAATAAAGACTAGTACACATGCATATCTACTCTCCACTTCAACTTTTTAGCTTTTTACACTGGACCACACATTTTCTCTCCAAGCACCCGCCTCTTGCAGAGGATCCCGCTTCCCCATCTGAACCTACTTTTCCTGATATCTGATCCTACATGGCATGCGAGGCATCACCCTGAGGCTATGCATTGGCCATGCCCTAATGTGATTCTTAGGAAGTATCTTTTTTCTTGAACACATCAAAATGTTGTCTGTATTTGCCTTCTTAGGAAATATTGCTGCCAATATGTCTTTGTGTGATGTCCCATCCTTCGTAGGTGTGGGGATCACATGATATAACTAGAAGCATTTCACGTCATGCGCTTTGTTGCGCCGCTTCCGCAAATGGACTGCAGCATCCTCATATTTGCACATCAGGACAACCTATCACACTCAATGCAACCTATCACACTCAATGCACGGACATGCATCAGTCTTGGCCTGCTTAGATAAACATCAATGACATGTAAAAAATGGTTTGGCAGCCCCTTACTGTGATAGTATTGGTGGCTCTAATATCCCTTGTGAACTCATCCATCACCATGGCAAAAGGATAAGGGCTCAAAGCTTACCCTGGCAAAATGGTTTGAAGCCATGGCAAAATGGTTTGGTGCAGTTCTGTTTTAATAGGAAAGTCATTAGTGGCGCCATCACTTGTACGGACACTTGTCACAACATTATCGTACATGTCCTTGATGAGGGTAATGTACTTGTTGGGCTTTGTGTTTCTCCAAGGCCCAACACATGACATTCCGCGGTATCTTATCGTAGGCCTTCTCCAAGTTAATGAACATTAGATGCAGGTCCTTCTTTTCCTCCCTGTATCTCGCCTAAGTTGCCGTATCAAGAAAATGACTTCTATGGTCGATCTACCAGGCATGAAATAAACTGAAATTTTGTCCCGCTTGTCATTCCTCTTAAGCGATGCTCAATAACTCTCCCATAGCTTCAGTGTATTGCTCACCAGCTTAATTCCACAGTTGTTAGTATAACTTTGGACACCCCCCTTGTTCTTGAAGTTGGTATCTAACACCAAGTTAGTGTTAGATACATCCATTTGGTGGACAAGCTTGGGACAAGCTTTTCCGGACGGAGGGAGTACTAAGATACCCTGCCTTCATTCTTCTGGCATCTTGTTTGCCCGAAAAATGCGGTTGAAAAGTTTATTTTGCCATACTATCGCTATGTTTTTTGAGGCCTCTCCACATCCCAATGGGGGTATAACCAGGGCCCATCGCCTTGCCTCCTTTCATCCTTTTGAAGCCTCTCTGACCTCAGACTCCTGGATTCGTCGCACAAAACGCATGCTGATATTATCAAAGGAGTCATGCAGCTCAATGGTTGAGCTCTCATTCTCTCCATTGAACAACTTGTCTAAGTACTCACACTATCTATGCTTGATCTCCTCGTCCTTCACTAGGAGTTAATCTGCACCGTCATTGATGCATTTGACTTGGTTGGCATCCCTCGTCTTCCTCTCTAGGACCTTGGCCGTCTTATAGTTGCCCCTTTCGCCTTCCTTCTTGTTGCGCTGGTAGAGGTCCTCATACGCCCGACCCCTTGCTTCACTCACAGCTTGCTTTGCGGCTTTCTTTGCCACCTTGTACTCCTCTATGTTGTCTGCACTCCAATCCAGGTGCAGGCATCTGAAACAGTCTTTCTTCTCCTTTGAAGCCACCTTACGAATGCAAGTCACATCTTCATCCATATATTGTTTGCATCACCTCCTCCCTCCCAACGGCCCTCCTTAATAACCACCCTCATTAGAAGCCTGAGCTGCCTCCCCCTTGAGCTTCCACCACTTCGTTCTGGTGACTTTGGCATGCTTATCCTGCTGAACACAAATCCGAAAGCGGAAGTGAGCCACTACAAGCTTATGTTGAGGGACACCACTCTCTCTAGGTATCACCTTACACAACTAAAGTTAATAATTAGATATACCGGAATGATACAATCTTAGTGTTTGGTTAGAGGGATGGGATGGAAGTATATGGTTCATATAACCTCTTGCTTATAAAGGGTGATTATCTTGCATAAAAATAAATTTGTTCTTTAGGTAAGCAAATATAACAGCCCATGTAATGTATTTTTCCAACTATACATCTTCTTGACCATCTACAATGTACATGTAGTAATGTATGGTTATCTAAGATAGATATAGCCGATGCAGCAATACGTTGGCAGTTCATCTTTTAAGAAAGCACCATAGCATTAGTAGCTAGCCTGTACATATCGAAGTTCCAAACTATGCAACACCAATTTTAAATGCTTATTTAGCATTGATGGTCTGCACATAAAATATAGATAGATCCAGTGTGAGCACATACATACATCTTCCTAATGAGAAGCAGTTCACATATGCCTAGAGCACTGGAGTGGTCGGACAACAGAAACTTGCACCTTATTCTTTGCTCGGCGGCGAGGCTTACACGTCGGCCATCCTCTTCCCCGCTATTTTCTCTTAAGCTATTGCCTTTGACTTCCTCTTCCCTACTTCAATCGACCATCCTCTGCCTGCTTATTTCTTTGTCAAGTTGTTGCCTACGACCTCCTGCTTCCCCATGGATGCGACTCTTACTCAGTCAGGCGATTGCAAGGGGAGAGTTCTACGAAGCCCATTGTCTATGATGCCTGCCTGTCGCCCAACAATGCTCGCCGCAGCGAAGAGAAATAAGAGAGGTAGATGTGTTTCGGGCTGAGCTGAGAAGGCAAGGGATTCGTCTGTCTCAGTGGTGATGAAATACTGATCCAGCCTCACGTGCAGAGGAGCAAACGAGGAACTTGTGTGCATACTACGTTGGACTGGATGTTTGATGGTGTGGTTGAAGGAGAGAGAGAGAGAGCGGAAGGGCCGCGCCGAGAGAACTCCATGTCGAGGAACTGACGTGCTTATACGCGTTACTTGCCGGCTGCGATGACCAAAGGCGTAGCCAGGTTGGAGATACGCCCCGGGCCAACAGCCTAGCTACAATGCTAAACAATGCGAAATAGTGTTTCTCAAGCTACAATCAATGAAGGGACAAGCTGCCATGCCCCATGCCATGGCCCTGGTAGCCTGGGGCTTGGCTACGCCACTGGCGATGACCATGGGAGAGGGGCCATCGTATCAGATGAAAGTGGCTTAGGGTATGGATAGGAAGGGAGACCAAGTCGTCCCATGATCCTAACAATTGGAGAGATCGGCGATTTTGTCAGTTTTATCATGGGTATACCCTAGAATCAATAGGATTGGACGAAAATGATCGGAACGGGGAAGGGTTTAAGTTTTTTAATGTATAACTAGATAATTGCCGGTGCGTTGCAATTGGGTATAAATATTCTAGTACGTTAGCCCATGATTTACATGTACATATTAGTATGATTGTATACATGTTTATCAGATCCTACCGGTAATTTACGTACCTAAATATATTTTAGGATTTTATATTGTAATCACTTAATAGCTTACCAAGGAAAACACAAGTATATTTGATAAGTCAATAAAAGGTGGGACAGTTTAAGGCGATTTTCAAGGAATGATGCTCAGGAAAATGATGAAAGGTTGGGCGAAGCACTCTGCTCGGCAGGAAAAGACAAAATTTTCCTACTACCGGGTGTAGTTGCTCCCACTTTTGTTTCGTACGTTCTAGGTAGTATCTATGAGCATGATTGGTTTGATGCCAACATTTGGCATTGCCAATACTTGGCAAGCTAACAATTGGCAATATCAAAATTGACCAAAAATTGACAACTTCTTGTGAGGTTGGCAAGTAAAATTGGTAACCAACCAAACACTATCAAACCAATCATGCTCTATCATATCATGTATGCCAAATGTTGGCATGCCAATTTTTGGCATCAAACCAATCATGCTCTATCATATCAGAGTGTATGTACGTGTAGTATGTAGTATATAAGAGTGTTTAGATAATACAAACTGCTTCTTTGGTAGCATGTACCATATTTTGAGCATACTAAATTTTACATACAAATATGTACGTATTTCACAAATACAATAAAAACTATGGGCTCACTTGCAATTTTTTCATAGAACTCACTTTGGAGTATCTTAGATATAGTATACTAACATACGAAAAATAATAAAGTAGTGTATATACTACAACATGGTAATATATGAGACATGGGTGTAACTACACCTGGTAGTAGGATGTATTTTCCCTATACGTGTGTGTGTGTGTATATATATATGTATGTATTTGTTAAGGAGTATTAGTATTGGTCTAGGAGTCCTTATTAGTCTATGTTTAGTTTCCTTACACCTCAAGTCATGTGTAATATATATATATATATTAGACTAATAAAGACAAGTTGCTTTCCTAACATGGTATTAGAGCCTAGGTTATTTTTTCTCGCATGCCGCAACTCGTGCTCGTACCGATCGGTTTCGTATCGATCTCGTATCTTTCCTCGATCCTATCTCCTCGCCGACGTGATCTGCTCATGTCTGGCTGCTGCTAGCTTTTATGCTCGCTCATCTCCTTTTGGTTGCCTCGGCTGCACGTCTCCAGCCACGCGTGGCGTCTGCCCGGTTCCAGTCAGCCACCCGCCCGGCCTGTGCTACGCCCTGATCTGTTGATTCCCAGGCTGCTCCGCTCAGATTCGTAGGCGTCCCGTCCAGCTGAGCTCGATCTGCTGTCCTCCAGTCGGATCCCGTCGCCGGCCGCTGTCTCTCGTGATCCCTAGTCGGATTCCGCCGCCGGTCGCCGTGTTCCACCGCTTCCAGTGAGATCTTGCAGCATATCACGGTGCCTCGT